AGGTGTCTAGAATCTGTACTATGTCAATTAAATTTTAAAAAAACAGACGAAAAATGGGCAATCACCTTTCTAATTCTATTTAATTTCAATGATACTAAAAATGTTTTTTATCTAGACGATGAGTGTAATAACAGCTTTAGCAAATTCAAAAAAATGTTATTGGCTATCAATAATTATTAGTCAGAAAATTACAAACACTAATGAATATAATCCCGACTTTAGGTGATTTAGTCTGCTGAGTAATTACAACTTGATAATTCAACACTACTGTTTTGGATTAAACAGGCCAATTAATCAAATTGTTAAAAAATTTAAAAAAAGTGATAGAACTGGATTTACCTTAGCAAAAGATGTCACGCATATGTGACAACCATGCTTAAAAATTCTTAACTTAACTTAACTTAACCCTAACTTAACTTAACTCAAAACCCTAAAAACACAAAATAATAAACCTCAACAAACAAAAACACTGTTACCTACAAAACAGACGGAAAACCAGAAACAACAACATAAGTAAATAAACCACCATAACAGGAATGAAATCTACAGCAACTTTATAAAAAAGAAGCAACTAAAGCCAAACCACCAAACGCCATAAAACACCATATATTCTAAAATAAAAAAAATAAACCGAACAAATCAAGCCCAAACAAAATAATAAAAATAGATCAAACAACACAAAAATCACCACACAAAAAGCAACAACTAAAGTAGACACAGAAGAAAACGATTTATGACTCCAAAGGTACTCAAAACGTTTACTCAAAATCCAAACAAACACAGAACATAACAAAATAGTAAAGAAACAATCAACATAAACCAAATTAACACAATAATTACCAAACTAAGAACAAAACAACAGCACAGGAATCTTCATTACATCACTCAACAAAAAATATAAAAATCCAATCACTACTAGAGGAAACACGATACACTCACAACCTAAATGGAAACAACCCACACTTAACTCAAAACCCTAAAAACACAAAATAATAAACCTCAAAAAACAAAAACACTGTTACCTAAAAAAGAGACGGAAAACCAGAAACAACAACATAAGTAAATAAACCACAATAACAGGAATGAAATCTACAGCAACTTTAAAAAAAGAATTTACTAAAACCATATTAACAAAAGCCAAATGCCATTTTCCCAAGTTTGATATATCGCGTTAATTCCTGTCCCGAAAATCGCAGAGAATTCAGTTATGCATGAAACCAATGTCACTTGGGCGCTAGACACCTCGTGTGATTTGTAAATAATTTT